CTTGAAGCCTGATCTGGCAGAGCCCCCGAGGAGAAGCTGCTATTGCTGTAGTAGGAGCAGGGAGGGGGAACATGCACTGATTGTGCCGTGTTTGAGAGTGTTAAAGTGAACTTAAATTAAACTTTCTTGTTTAACTCTTTTCTTCAAATTGGTGTGCAGATATTGGAGGTCCTGAGCTCTGTTCACCCTGGAAAGGTCTGGTCTTCTGTCTGTGTTTTTGAAGGCTTCTGTAATGGCTAGGATCAAAGCAGGGTAGTAACAAAAGATATTATTGTAAAAGAAGGTCAAGATGTTTGATCCTTCTGAACTTCCTTTTGGTTCTTGAATTAATCACATTTTGGGTTGTTTTAGTTCTTTCTGTCTTGAGGTGCCAAAGCCTGAGAAAAAGAGAGAGTTGGAACTGCCTGAAGTTGAGAGACCAGCTGGGACAATAGCTGCCAAAGTGTGCAAGGCTGCATAGTAGTTGAAGTGAGAATTGTAACATCCTGAGTTCTCTGGACCCTTTCCTACAGGTAACTAAAACACATCAGCCAGAGGTGTGGAGCTAAAGTTAGGAAATAAAATATTTTATTTTTATTTTTTTAGAGGCGTAAAGAGAGCAGGTCCAGCTGTGCCACCACTGTGGGATTAAACGAGCAAGAGACTCACTTGCTTCTTTTGCAGAGGGCTTGTTCTTGATCTGCCAGCTCCCCTAGTTCCTCCTTCTTGCTATTTTGTTGCTTCACGTGGCAAAAGGAAAGATGTAAAGCAGTAAGAATAGAGAGGGACAAATCCACGTGAAAAGCTGTAGCTAATGCTTGACTGCAAGTTGGAGATGCATGCGCTAAAATAGGCAAGGAAGTTTGTACTCTCTGGAGTCAGATGTTATCTGCTAAATAGCTTTCAGGAGCACAAAGCAAACAAGACTTGCTTTAATCATTCTAAAAACTTCTCCCTTGGGGGTTAATTTTGGCATCTTTCCCTCCTCTGCCCTCCTAGAGGATCATGACACCCTTCGGTGTGACACAGAGTGGTGGCATCTCGCTGCTGCTTGGGCCTGAACCGGCCTCTGAGGGGATTTGTTCGACTAGAAGCAGGCTCCTCTCCTGCAAAAATGGATTGGATCCTGTCAGAGATGGTCATGGAGGAACGTAGAGAGGGGACGTGTTTTGCTACATCTGCTTGTTTCTCTGGCGAGTGATTTAAGAGCCTCTAGAAGTCCCTGATGGTGAAGGAGAGGGGCTTTAACAGCCTTTCTAGTGCACCACAGCAGTGGATTTTGCTGGTAACTCAACTTCCTCGCCTTCTGTAAGCATGAGCTGAGCAGGAGTCTCCATACTCCCTTCCCCACCACCATAAAAGCTGCTCCTGCCCACCCAGCCTCCAATCCACCCAGGGAAAAGCGGATCCCTCCAAGGGCATCTAACTGGCTGGATCTCAGCCAGCTTCCCAGCTCACTAGGGTTTTAGTAGGGTTTTACCAGAAGTACCAAGTACTCCTGGTACTCGAGGCTGCAGTGACCAGTATGAGCTCTAGGAGATGCTGAACTTCTTTGCTTGCAACAGAGGTGACACCTTTGGAGACCGGCTAAGGGGACGTGGCATGTTCAGCTTGCTCTCCTGACCCTGAGAGGCCAGACTGACTCTGGCCTAGAGCTGGAGTGGGTGTTAGTGCTGATGAGCTTAAGGTGTCTTTGTGGCGCCTCTTTAAGTGCTGTAATGACAGCTCTGGTCACCTAAAAACGCAGGTGGGCTCCTGAAGCCGTTGTTGACATTTCTTTATCACTAATGGATCCAAATGAGTTTAAACGCAGCACATTTGCTGTCACACCATCTGCTATGCTGGAGACTCTGCTTTTCCCGGCCTGTCTGCACAAATACTGAAGGTTTCCAGGTTTTGCTGTTCCAGCCTTTCTGGTGACAGAAATGCAGCACTATTAGCCTAGCTGAAATTCCTCTCAGTAAGTGTGGGCATGTGCTGTAGGGAGCTCCATCACTTTAATTTTTGCACTTTTGAACAGGACGTCCTTGTCTCAGTCTTTTCCATGTGTTAGACACAAGTTGGGTGCCAGGCATCTCTTTGGATATCTCATGTCTTGATGGACCAACTTGTGGTTTGGGGGCTAAGGCAGTTGTGAAAGATGTGCTAACACTTTGCTGGTTTTGTGGTGGATTTAGGAGATTCCTCCACCATTTCCATCGTAACCCTGGACAAAGTGTCCAGTGCTGCCTTTTGTCATCTAGATGTGCCGTGACTCAGGAGCAGAGTAAAGAAAACACAAGCGCTGTTTATGAACATATAGGTGAGTGTGCTAGTCAAACCAGAATGTATGTGGCGTGAGCCTGGCTCTACGAGCACGACAGCATTATCAGAGCAGTGGGATTACACCGTGTTCTGTGTGGCAGCAGGCAAGAGAGCCACAGGACTAGACATGAACCACCTGGAACCAGAGAGAAAACCCCAAATCTCTTCCCTGACCTCCTCACCTGAAAAGAATTTGTATTTGCAAACTGCAAATAAGCAGCTTATAAACAGAGGAGTGAATTCTCCTTTTGTTTGCAGAAGGCAACATAGTCTGTGCACCCTGAGGGCGGAGTATGGGGGGCCAAGAGCTGGTTCTGCGGGCTGGCTATTTTTGGTGATCTGCTTGGAAGCCCTGGGTGGGGATGTGAGCTGAGCAGAGCTAATGGGCAGGACAGAGCAGATTTCCAGAGCAACAAGTTGAGAGGTATGTGATGAGAACACAAGTCGCTTGCCTGAGTAGGGCTCCTCTGCATATTCGGGGCACTGTTCCAGCCTCTGCGTTCACCTGGGTGCTCTGTAGGACCTGCTTGTGATGGAGCCGCATGGTAGGTACTGTCACCCAACCTGCCTCTGTAGGGTGACATCAATGAAAGGAAGCTATGAAATTAAAGTTTGGAGAAGATTTTAGTGCTCGATAGGACATAAGCAACAGCTGGAACATCTCCCCAAGAGGTGGGATGGTATCTCTGTCACTTAAGGCCTTCAAAATTAAGACCTAGGTGTTTTCCATGCTTGGCACTCAAGTGCAGCTGCATATTGTGTTGTGAGCAAGACCAGGCAGATGAGCAAGTGGCCTTTCTGCTTTGAACATGTAATAGCTGTACTGGTGGTTCTGGCAAACAAGAGGGAGTTAAATCATCTGAGACAGACAAAAGGTCATCTGTTTTCAGCGTAGTAGGGACTCTTCTCTACCGCCACTTCCATCTGCAGTATCAAGGAACTAGATCTGCAAGTCATTTAAGCCCTGGCCAATTAATGCAGTGATCCCTGCTATTGATGAAGCAGTTTGGCATAGTTCTGTGTTGCCGTAGGACAAGGAAGACCCCTGGTAGTAGCTCCAAGACAGTTTACAGGTTTGTGCCACTCTGCAAAGTGGTATATGGGCTCCTTCCAGCACACATAAACCTTGACAGAGTGCAGGATCCCAGGAGCTCCAGGAAGAGCTGCTGAGGAATTGCATCGGTGCCATCCAGAGCCATGTCCGTCTGCCGCAGGGGCAGGAAGAGCAAGCTGGCTGTGCAAACCGTGAGACAAGTTGGGGCGAGGGAAGGTGGTGTCTGGTGTTTGGGTCCCAGTCTGGAGAGGTGGAGCGAGATCGTGTTTGGGGATTTAGAAGCAGAGGTGTGTGCCTGATAGATGGCCATGACCACCAAGATAGGGCAGTCGCTGTCAAGAGAACCACTTGGTTCTCTGGGGAAATCCTCACTGAAGGTGACAATGTGTTCTTCCATCTCCCCTCTGCTTTAGCAACTGAAGACGCTCTCCTGGAGTTTTCACCTTTTGGTCCTTCACTTTTTGGTTTGAAGTGAGGTGGAAAACTGCTCTTAAACACTCAGAGTT